CCTACACTTGGTGTTTCCTAGCACTGGCTGGAAAGATGAGCATCCACCCAAACATCACTCATAGGTGCCTAATCATCCATGAAACATCCTGCACCTTCTGCTCTGTACAGTATGTTTTTTATTATCTGTCTTTCAGGAGAAAGGACTGTTGGAATTCCTGTCCAGGAAGAACAGATTGACTCCAATTCTAGTCTCATCAAAAACTGACTCCACTTTACCTTACTGTTTGCTGCGTTTCTGAGCCAATCGATTGTACCGAGTAACGTGGCAGAGCGTTCTGTGACTGTGTGTGTGTGTGGGTGTGTAACTGCTTAATTGCACTTCAGTTCCTTTGGGTCTCATTGAGTGGCCCCTTTGGCCTTGGGACCAATGGGAGGAGCTGTTCTTGGTGGGTTCATGTGATTCTCAGGCAGATCCTGTGCACAGCATCCCCCTTGCCAGGACTGGGTTGATGCAGTCCTCTGCATTTCTGGTAAATTCTCTATGTAGTGATAGGCAGTTGTCTTTGAACTGAGGAAAGTGTGTGTGGAGCTATAAGAGCAGCCAGAAAACCAGGGAAATCAAAAGACCTGCTTTACAACTGAGTTTACATTTTGTCTTACAATTCTGAGATGCTAAGCAGAGCGTGTGTCTCTTCTCAGTGCTGGTATCTCCAGTGTTTGTCTAGTTCCCAAATGAACTCTCATCACTTTAGATCAAAAATCTACCCTGATGAACCTAGCCATCCTCCTTTGTGCTTCTGCTTTTTCCAAGTGATTTCTTCTTGATGAAGCTGAGTGGCACATGTCAGTAACTCTTGTGCTGGCCGTGCACCAGAATAGCACCAGAATTCTGGCACTAGTCTGTTAAATGACTGTCCAGAGATGGCTGTTCAATGCCACTTCTCTCTCTCCTGCATTTCTTCAAACATATTGAGCAGTATCCCCGTTGTCAGGCCAACAAATGGAATTACTCATGCTCACCAGGTAGCTCCACTCTTCCAAATGGTTCCACTTGATTGCTTGCCGTGAATGTAGGGAGAAACCCACAAGCAAGTTTTGCTTCCAGACCAGCTGATTATCTGGGCCTTCAAGGGTTGCATTTAAGCAAAGATACGCAAAGACATGGAACAGTGGATAAACGCCCAACCTGTGCTCTGCCCATTCATCTGGATGATCACCTTGTGCATGCTGTCAAAGGATCCTGCATTCAGGACTGAAGAAGTGCTCTTCATTTGGTCTCTCAGCAGTTAAAATACCTGGCTGTTTGCTTGTACGCTGTATGAAATGAGCTGTACTTCTGTAACATTTTTCCACGGCTTCTTTGGTCAGTAGCTTTGGGAAGAGTTCAGATTTCAGATAGCAGCTTGTGCCTGAGAGAAACCTGAAGCGTTGTTGTGAATAGCTTTTGATGTAATCTAAATACCTCCACATGAAAATTCGAGAAGTAGTAAACTTGAATGGCATACAATTCAGAAGTGCATTTCACTTCAGATACAACTCCTCAGCGGATAACTCATTAGAGGGAGGGATTGTGTGTACGCAGTACCAAAGCATATGTCGAAATATGCGACAGGAAATGTATTCAGGGATGCAACTGGTGCCTAGAAACATGTTCTTAAACATATATTTTCTCATATGTTATACATATGGCGTACTTAGCATGTATTTCCTATTTTGAAGTGCATATACAATGTATATAAACGTTTGTATTATATACAAAGTGTGGTAGTGACTTTCTGAAATAAAGTGTGGTAGCAGCTGGATGCACATGTATGATGTGTGTGATTGGAGCGTACGAATGAGCCAGAAGTTATTCTGGTGTGTTTAATTCTCACAGAAAGCAGGCTCACCAAATGGTCGATCCTGTGGCTTAGCAGGCTTTGAGTTCACACGCTGGCTTGTGTGACTTAAAGCTGTCTGTAGTGATTTTTCTCTCTCAGTCTGGCCTGGCAGCAGTTGTGACCTGAGAGTTGCTGGGATGTTCAAGATGATAAAGCTCCTTGAAAACACAGAGCCCCTGGCATGGATGTAGAGGCCTTTGAAAGTGTCCTGTGGCCTAAATGCTGTCATCTTGCTGTGAATTGGATGGCGATTCGATGAATCTGAGAAATGCATCCCAGGAACCGCCCAATAAACTACTGGAAGTGACACTTACCAAGCTTGTAGGCTGCAGTTGAGAGGCGGAGAAGCAAGTAGCACGTTTCCATGTAACGGAGCAAGGCGCAGATAATGAATGAGCTATCTGAGGTTGTGGGTTGTGTGATGAACACAGGAACAGAGGAGCCTCTGGCTTGACAGAAGCGCTGCTGTGGCAGCAAAGCTCCCCTGTGGTGTGGGCTCATCAGCTGTTTCCACGAATCTTACTGCTTTTCTGCCCTCTAGCTCAGCTGCACAGGAAGATGCCTGAGTGCACTCTGTTCCTCTGTAATGCCTCCAGATCAGGAGATTTCCTGCAAACCAGGCTATGGTTTCCCTGTGGCTGATGAAGAAGCTGATACTGGCCCTGGAAGCGCGCAGCAGAGGTGAGGTCACTGAGGACAGGTTGCGTTTGCCCATCAAAATTCAGAAAACTGAAGGTAAACAACTCAGCGTGTGGCTCAGTGCCTGCAACAGCAAAGCCTCGTGGGCTGGAGTTGCTGGGTTTTGAGTTAATGATACCTGTGCTGCTGTACAACTGGATCCAGTCACTGTGCTGAGGCCTGTAATCCTGTCAGAAGAGTTAAACCATAATAACGCTTGATAGGATAGGAGGCATTTCTGATTTGATTATTTTGGAGGATTTGGGTGTTGGTAGATTGCTGGTTTAAATAAGCTGAAGTAGCTATTTCACTCTCAATAAAGGAGTAAGTGGTTTTTAATTGCCACGTTCAGTCTTGTCACTGTTCTGTGAAAAACTTGCTTGGCTATTTTTTTTGTTCCAATCCTCTCTGAAGTGGCAGAAAGTAGAACAAATTGAACAGGCAGAACAAATTGCTGCTGTCTCCTGCCTACGCTCGTCTTCCTACGTGCCAGAAATGAAACTTTCCCTTCTCAAAGGTATGGGCCTGTGTCGCAGAGTGGGTTCCTGTTTTTCAGCCATTCAGACTTGCCCTTTTTCAGACTCTTGAGAGCGACACAGTCCATGTTGTGCAGCTTCATCTAAGCTGGTCAAGGTAGGGCTGCACTGGAAAGGCGTCAGTTCTTTTGTTCTGCTAACCTGGTTTTGGTTGGACTGGAGTGGCAGGTACAGTACGTGGTGAACCTCTATGATTTATAAATGAAACGCATCTTGGTTGCCACAGAGCCCTGATTCAGGATGTCACTTAACCACATGCAAAACTGCATGAATGTTGTCATTAAAATTTGGCCTCTTGTTTGATTTGTAAAACTGATTAATAATTCATTACAGGCCGCATTACATTGTTGGTGATTGGCTGCAGACAGAGGTTTGGTCACATTGCTACAAAACACTAAGGAAAACCAAACAAAAACCCAACCCTTCTTGCTTTTGGGATTTCTGTCAACAATGTTTTGTCTCTCTTACATGTGAGGCTATCACACATGACTGCCTGAAGTTTTAACAAGGCCATTTGTTTAAAATTGAGATTTGTTTTGCTTACTGCTTCAGTTTTGCAGAAGAATTAGGAAGAGACCAGGTGGTATTTGAGAGCCACGCTGGAAAAGAATTCTATACATGAGCTGAGATGAGGAGTTTTTGAGCTCTCCCCTCAGCCCGCAGACTTGGCAGTTAACATGTACGTCATGTTTCAGGAGTTAGTACAGTTTAAAAAAGTAGGTCTGTAAGTTTGTGCTTTTCATGTTCACTTCCTCCTTTCTCTTTTTTCTCTTTTTTTTCATTTTCCCCTGCAAATACATGACAAGTTTCTGTGTCTGCGGCTACCCCAGATCCTTTATCTCCTGTATTTTCACATTTTCCTGAGACTTCGAAGTGCATCAAAGTGACTCAGGCTTGCCATGAGTGACTGAAGAAAGGTCACATCTGCTGCTGTATGCCAGGCCGGGTGCTGCCCTGGAAAGGAAATACACAGCTTGGTAATGTCAGGGATTTGGGGTTTTTACCTCTGTCTGCTTTGGTTCCCTCTGTGAAATGTTGGTCGCATCACTGCCAGCCTTCTGCTCCATTGGGATGGGCTGCAAGGAGTCACCAAATTTGGTGACAAACAACCCAAGAGGTGACTGCAAGACCCACACCATGGGTTAAGACAGTGCAAGCTGCAGGGCTCATGAAGTATCCAGAGGTCTTGGCAAAGCACTCACTGATTTGGGGGAGAATTTAACTTGCCTTGGGAAGGCACCACAAGAATCACCGATGCTTCTGCCACATCCTTTGGCTCCAGTGCCTCCAGCCCTGCCCACGCCAGGTTTGCAGGGCAGTCATTCTCCAAGAGAGGGCAGGCGTCAGACAGGCACTGTAGATACCCCACGATGTGGAAACCACCAGGCTGGCCAGCCCTACTCGCTGCAAAATGTCAAAGTGGCCTAAAGGTTAGCAGAGTTGGAAGAAGCTCAACAGTTTTGTCTTCTCATTTCTGGCTACAGATAAATTACTTGTCCTTAAGCTTTATTTTTTTTACCCCAGTCTCTGGTTAACACTACATGAACTGGCATTGCTGCTGTGGTTTCCTGCTGGGGAGCTGATGGCCCAGTGCCACCGCCAGTGCCAACCACACTGTGCACTTGCTGCAGTGCTGACCTGCACTCTGTGCACTGACTGCTCCTCTCCGCTTTCTGCAGCCCGTCACAACTGCTGTTCACAGAATCACAGAGTATAAGGAGTTGAAAGGGACCTGGAAAGCTCCCCCAGTGCAACCCCTGCCACAGCAGGATCACCAGAGCAGTCACACAGGAACACGGCCAGGGCTTTGGGTGTCTGCACACAAGGAGACTCCACAACCGCTCTGGGCAGCCTGGGCCATGCTCCATAACCCTCACACTCACAAACTTTGGCCTCATCTCCAGCTTGAACCTCCTGTGCTCCAGCTTGGGACCATTGCCCCTTGTCCTGGCATTGGCCATCCCAGAGCAGAGCCTGGCTCCTTCCTCCTGACACTGCCCTTTCCCAATGGATCCCCAGGAATGAGGGCACCCCTCAGTCTCCTCTGCGCCAGGCTCAAGAGCCCCAGCTCCCTCAGCCGCTCCTCAGCAGGAGATGCTCCACTCCCTGCATCATCTCTGTGGCCCTGCTGGACTCTTTCAAGCAGTTCCTGTCCTTCTGGAGCTGAGGGCCCAGCACTGGACACAAGATTGCAGCTGTGGTGTGAGCAGGGCAGAGCAGAGGGGCAGGAGAACCTCTCTGGCCTCCAACCACCCCTTCTCATCCAGCCCAGGATGGCGTTGGCCTTCTTGGCTCAAGGGCACATTGCTGCTCATGGGCATTGCTGCCACCAACACCCCAGGTCCTTTCCAGCCACTCGTCCCCAGTCCTGCAGTGTCCATGGGGCTCTACCATAGGTGCACTGGCATGGCAAGCCACAATGGAGTTTTCTGCAGTGGAGTGAAACCAAGAGATGGGGCTGAGAAGGCAATTTTATGTCTAACAAATCTCATTAGTCATTCAGAAATGACGTAGACTTCATGCAAACCATCTCGTACTTGTAGGAGAACTGCATGGCTGCTTTGGTCACCCATTATGAGTAATCAGCAAAATCTCAATGTCTGGAAACCAAGTACTCTTCCTGGTAACAGTAGGCTCTCGTTGATGACATTTAAGTCCAAGGTGTGTCAGTAAAGCCACTGGAATTGCAGGAATTAATTACGTGTTTGAGAAGTGGTTACGCTGTTTGTGTTTTGGTTTTTCTTTCCACAGAGTTAGTAATTTGGACTGAATCGTGATGTCTGGTGACTCCAGGGGTGCCAAGCAAAAAGGGAACTGCAGAATGAGGCACCTAGTGATGATGTATATAACATGTATAATGTTCAGCTCATGGCTGGATATCTTTAAAGTGGGTAAAAGCAGAATTCACACCAGTTCTGTCAATCCTGTTAGGAATGCGTGCCCTGAAGACAAAGGTACAAGTTGCCACATCCATATATTTCAATGGGTGGAAGAATGCACTGGTTCTTCCTTCAGGTCTCATCCTTGAACGCTTCTGGTGTTACATGGGCAGGTCATGGTAGCACGGAGGAGGGAGAAGGGCTTAGGAGATCTGTAACATCTTTTCTTCTGTTCCAACACCGTGTGCACTCGTGTTTCAGCCTTCGTTTGCCCTGAGCTCTGTATGGGTGTCTTAAGCAGCGCAGCTCTTGAGCTTTTGGGGTCTTTGGCCACATGTGTTTCTGTGCCTCCCTTCCTTTATTAAGGAAGGAGAAGAAAGCCATTTTCCCCAGGTCTCCTGATACAGTGAGGCCCAACACTTAGAAATGAGGTTTATTTCTTGGAGACAGTCATAAAATATTAAGATCTCTTCATCTGAGACTTCGTGATAGATGTGCTCAGACAACCCCAAAGTCCACATTGCTTCCAGTGGCTTTTTAACCCTTGGGGTTGTGATTTTGAAGTCAGCTCACATGGATTGAAAGAAGCTCTGCAGGCCACAGAACCTGTGCGTGAGGATAAAGACTGTAAGGATTCCTAATGGTTTAGGGGGTAGATGGGAACGGTTGGACATGATGATCTCAGAGGGCTTTTCCAACGGAGCGATTCTGTGATTCTGTAATTTCTGTAATTAATTCTGTCTCAATCAGGTGTGATCTAGTCAATCCTGTAGCTGCTGCTGAACAAGACCACTGGGCAATCAGGTGTTGTGGAGTGATAAGTACTGATTAATACAATAGGCATTTATTCTATCAATAGGTGCAGAGAGAGCTGGAAACCCTACCAGATCAGACAGCAGCACTGACATACGTCACATACAGGACTAAGCAAGAAAAGAAGTGGCAGATAAAATGTTGCTACCTTACATCAGAGACAGGTATGGTTAGCTTTAAAAAAACCCCAGAGATGTTAAAGCCAGATAGTCAGATTGTCTCTGAAAGGTCACTGCTGACTCCGGAGATTTAGGCTTGGCGTGCACAGCTATTGTCTGTGATCTGACTGTAAATGTTCCATCAGCTGCCAGTATCTGTGCACGACTGTAATGCTTGAACGAGAATGAAAACATGTAGAGACCAATTCAGAAAAAAAACCCCAAAATATAAAAATATATAAATTATTAGTTCCTATTGTGATAAACACCATGTATCAGATATCAAGTTATCATCGGTTACCAGTGGCTGGTGTGCCAGATATTCTGGGGTACGGCCTTGAGGTGTAGCTTGCAGAAAGTGAGGTGAAGTGACTCTCAGCTCCCCAGGACCCCAGTGCTGCCATCAGAACAACTGTCAGGGTCCTAACGGGGTTTGTCTCCTCCACATCAGTATTGGCAGTGGTGCTCCACCCGGGGTACAAGTACACAACAAAGCCTTAGGGAGTTTTTGGGAAGCCTGAGCTGCATCCTTGGGCAAGTCTCTCAGCAATGCATGGAGCTCATCCCATCTTTTCCTATTCCTGAGTTACATTTTTCTCTGCACACCTCCTGAATAAATGATTTGGCAGGGTTACTCCTAAGGCCATTTGTGACATGTCCCACAATTGATATTGGTGTTGCTAGGTGCTGTAAGAGAGTTTGCAGCCCTTTTATGTTTGTAGGGAGCATACGTGTTATCTTTTAATGAAACTGGAAGCACCTGACCTCAAAGGTGGTGCTGCTGGGGATGTGAAGTCTTGAATTCAATACATTTGGCTTTGATTTGGTGTAGCCACAGTAAGGATTTTTGAAACAAATTTCCTCTATTGTTAGCCAGGGATAATAAAAATATTGCCAGAGTCAGTCAGGGCTTGTGAGCAATTCAGAAATGGTCATTACTTGAGAAGTCATGACCATTAATGGTCATTAGCTTGGAGCAGAGGAGACTGAGGGGTGCCCTCATTCCTGGGGATCCATTTGGAAAGGGCGAGTGTCAGGAGGAAGGAGCCAGGCTCTGCTCTGGGATGGCCAATGGCAGGACAAGGGGCAATGGTCCCAAGCTGGAGCACAGGAGGTTCAAGCTGAAGATGAGGCCAAAGTTTGTGAGTGTGAGGGTTCTGGAGCATGGCCCAGGCTGCCCAGAGAGGTTGTGGAGTCTCCTTGTGTGGAGACACCCATAGCCCTGGCCGTGTTCCTGTGTGACTGCTCTGGTGATCCTGCTGTGGCAGGGGTTGCACTGGGGGAGCTTTCCAGGTCCCTTCCAGCTCCTCATATTCTGTGATTCTCTGGTTACTGGTTGGTCTGCAGAGGATGTTGCTGCAGTGTCCGAATGCTTTTCCTAATAACTTGTTTTCATCACGACACGCTGCTGAGTTCTGAAGAGGCTGAGACAGTTTTGTATGCTGCTGAGTGCACCATGTTTTCTGTACAAGAGCAGCGCCCTGACCAGTACCTGTGAACTTTGTGCTGCCCAGGCATTGTGGTTGTGCTGTTTGGAGGAGCCGGTGAAAGGAATCCTGACCTGGAGGCCTGAACCCAAGACCTGTGGTGTCCAGGGCTGTCCCCAGTTGAGCAGCACTGTGTCTGTGTTCCCAGTGCGGCGTGAGCGGTACAAACTGTGATAAATGTGAGAAGCGATGCTATGTGGGAAGCAGAGGGGATCTCCTGTGTGGCAGGAGTACAAAGTAGGAGGCTTTTAGTTTCTGAAACACAGAGGCATTATGTGGGGAAAACTGACGGCAGAGACCTATGTCTTTTGCGTGCTTGCAGCTAGTTTGGATGTCATCTTTTGATAGCAAGGTTTCCCCTCGTGCATTGAAGAGTACAAGCTCATACATTTTTAAAATTAGAAGGGTCTGTTGCACACCAAACCTATCTGATTGTTTCCAGCCCATAAGAGGAACACAGGTAGGTCCCTGTGTAGACCAGTGACTAAGCGTAGAGTGTGTTGGCTGACCTTCTCTTTGAGACCCACAGATAAACCTTCAGGAAGAAAGTGTAGAACACAGTGACGGGTGATGGTGTCTGTGTGGGAAGCTTGTTCAGGCTTCATTAGCTGTGCATTAAGCTGAAGGATTAACAGAGCAAGTGTCAAATGCTGTAGGCATGGCATTTTCCAGAAGCGCTTCTCTCTCTTCACAGGTCTGACTCTCCTCTGCCTTGACCTATTTGTCATCGTAGGCAGCGTGGAAAAGAACCCGTTAAAAACTGCTTCTTCATCAGAATCCATCTGTTCGTTGGGACCGAGGTTGGATTTTAAACACTGTAGTCACTCTGCACACATAAAAGCAACCACAAGCAACAGGCGTAGAAGCAAACCCCAGGGTGCAGTGGAAATAGAGCGGGGGGAGGCAAGCAAGAGGTCTACAGATAAAGAGATGGAAGTTTGCATATGTGTTTGTACAAGGCAAGACATTTTGGAATTGAAAGCCAGCAGCAGGTGAGGATTACAGGGTCAGAGGAGCTGTAAGTGTCTCTGCAGAGCCCATTGCAGCCATGTCTAGTTTTGGTCCCAGGGCTGATCTTGCAGTATTCTTTTTCTTGGCTTTGTGGTATCCGTATGGAGTTACAACGGCTCTGGAAAATAATTCGAGTCTCCTGATCCAGAGTGAAGGAAGTTGAAACCAATGAACAGAATCAGAACATCTGAGCGGATGGATGGACTTACTCTGTGTTGTAATCTGATAGTTAAATCCTTGAAGGTTTTCTAAATTCTACGTCAGAATGAAATAGTCTGAGGGTGCTGAAGTTCACCCACTAATTTAATTTGCATCGATTTGCAATTTGTTTATCAACTTTGAAAACCAAACGACGTGATGCCGCATCTTCCTCTTAAGCTGCGGCTTTCCTAATGGACTCACTGGTGTGGGGTTGCTTAGCCCTGCTCTTTTTGAGGCTTCAGTGACGTAAACCAAAATCTCTTCCCCGCCCCTCAAGAAACAGGAAGAGTGCAGCCTCAAAAAGCACAGTGCCTTCCCACAGTGTCAAGGGAGGCAGTACTTTCGCAGGAAGGTCCTGCCACAAGCCCACTCTAGTGTCCTTTTGGGTTGTATCGCTCGAGTCATGACTGAACAGCCCGGTGAAGTTGGTCACCTCAGGATGCGAGCTTGCTTGCTGCTGGTGCTGTGCCTGTGGCAATGGACACAGCAGACTCTGGCAATGCCATGCCAGGATGGTGAACTGAGAATAATCGGTAAAGACCAAAAGAAATGCTGCCCCAAATGCAGCTCGAAAGCAGGTAAGGGAATGCTGTGTCTGTCCTCTTTCTGTTTGTCAATATTGGTTTATGATGACCAGGGTAATTGAGTGTGGGGAGCAGGGGGGTGTGTGTGTATGTAAATGTACCTTGAGTATATGCAAAACAAAGTGGCAAGGACTTCCTTCCTGCCCTGCAGTTTCATAATGCACCTAGCTTTAAGCTTCAGAGTTGACCCATGTTTCGGATGTTATACTTGTTATTCTGTAGAGGGAAAGTGAAAAGTAAGTTTCTGTGGGTTGGTGTTGCTCACAAGGAAGGAAGGTGTTCACTTAACACTGCTTCTGAGCCCTTGCTCCATTCAAATGTGTTCTCACAGTTTGCCTGTGCCATTCAGAGGCAATACAGGGAGTGATGCTCTCTGTGAGGTTGTCCCTTGCAATCTGTGGTCCTAAAGAGCAGAAAGCCTCCCACTTCAGTCCCTCCATTCCACTGACCCTTGCTTGTCCCAGAAGTAGATGGACAGACGAGGTCTCAGGTGATGATTCCTTTCAACAGCCTGCTCTGCCCTGTATCCTTGGCTGATCTTAGGCTGGTGCTGAGAGGGTGGTGGATTCTCACTTTGTTAGCAATGGGACTTGCTGAGAAGTTACATCTCTCATTGGTGCCTGAGTAGGAGTCAGCCTCCCACCTATTATAGCTTGGATAAATCTGCCTCAGCTGACTGCAAGGACACCGAGTTCCCTGTGGAAGAGTGGGTGGACACACGATTTGAGGCAATGAGCAATAGATAGGTGAAGAGATCCCAGGGTACTTCCCTTCCCACTGAGATAAAGTCATTCAGCCTGAGACAGGAGACTCATTGCTTGGTGGCATCCACTCCAGAATCACCTGCAAGTACTACACAGGAAAAAAACCCATCCCCAAGCTGCTTCTTTGCTGTGACTTCAATAAGTTTTAAGACCAGCAAGAGGAGACCAGTGGGCAGCGGAAGATGTGGGCAGTTGCCTGGTGGCCTTGTACATCCCCTCACCAACGTCAGGACGTAATCTTTGCTTGATCTTTGCTATTCACTGTGGGTTTAAGGCATGCTGTTGAACTAAGCAGTGTTTCCTTCTTTATTTTTTTTTTTAATTTAAGGTTATACAGCTTTCTGCTTGAACAGCCCTTGTCCTCTCACTGGTCTCCAACTGCCTGAAGGACTGCTATACTGATGGGATCAGTGTATATGATCCATCATTTGCTATCATGAGCTCAGGAGCCCCCCTCAGAATTAGAGATGGTGGTTTTGGAGTGCAAGCAAAGTTCACAACAGAGCTCTTCTAGAAATAGAAGGACAGAGGGTAGGAAGGGTGCTGGTTTTATGGCTTGGATTTAGACTCCAACAGAGCTTAGGAAGCAACTGCTGCTGTTAGGAAAGGCATGGAAATGGAGCTCTAGCATCACTGCCCAAGGGTCTTTTGGGCAACCCTCCTCTGACGTGGCTGAGCTGAATGGAGAAGAGCTCTGGCAGTGTCCTGAGGGCTGCCTGGATGCCCAGTTATTGTGTAGTGTTTCTTGGGGGCACTGCTAGTGCCCTCCTTACCCCACAGTGTCTAAATCTGCACCTGCAAACCTGCTGCCTTACGTCTGTCTACCGCGACCTGCGCTGGTATTCCAGGTAAGAGAGAAGGGTTACAGCAGGAAGCCATGCAGCGCTCAGGTAACCATGGTGTGAAAATCTCAGTGGAGTTGAATTTGAGCACTCCAGACTTGATCCAGCACGCACGGGAGTGACGTCTTTCTGCCACTTGTATTTTCCACCACAGCACAGTAAGGAGCTGCTTCACCTGTGTCAGCCTCATGGTTAAGCTGATTTCCGGCCTCGATGACAAAGGCAAGCCTAACTCCTTTCTTCTTGACAGGAGACAACACCACATGTCAAAATACTGAGGACCACGACTGCAGATGTCGTCAGGGGTACAGCTGTGTGGATGATTCATGTCTCTACTGCCAAAAACTGCCTGATTGCCAAGTGGGCGAGGAGCTGGTTAAGCTTGGTAACTAAGGAAACACAGACTACTCTGGAAGGCAGCGTTCAATACAAGTGGCTGGTTGAGCAGCAGTTTCCTTCGCTTCTTATAACCTGCTTTTGGGAAGGCTCGTGATGCAGAGACAAATGGCATTTATACTGTGACCTCTGACTAAATCCCTGCTTCCCTGTTTTATAACTCATCTCTTCCTAAATTTGAGACTTGGGTTTTGATCCAGGGGGGTGATTCATAATGCGTGAGGAGTGTAGAGGGAAAGCATTGTGTTTTAATCTGTTGTATCCCATCTTTCCATATAGGCACTGACCATTACTAATTCGTGTTCTCTATTCCTGCAGGCTATTCGGACTTCATATTCAAGTGTAAACCATGTGAGATAGGAACCTACTCTAATGTCAAGAATGGCTGGTGCCGTAACTGGACTGAGTATGTATTTATTGATCCTTTCCTCCTTTGGAAATACGCCTGATAAAATTCTCAAGTGGGTAATAATTTAATCAGAAAATAGAATTGAATCGAAGACGACATCACCAATGAGATCAAATGATGAGGTTTTTTTTAAATTCAGCAATGTATTTCTCTCTGCTTTGGCTTTATAAGTAGTTGGTCTGAAAGCAGAGCTTAAGGCAAACTGCTGTGTATTCAAGCTGCTCCCAAGTCCAACTGCTGCAAAATTATTCCAGACATGGACATCTCTTGAAGCAAACAGACTAAAAAAACAAGTGCATATAGACGATAGTGATGTGGTGTTATCTTGTTGGGGAACGGCTGTAATTTTACCTACTATAGAAAGCAAAAAAAAAAATGGAGACAAGGAAGAGTGGAGGGAAGGAAAAAAGGGAGCCAAGAGAAAGGCAGGGCCATTCTAAATGTGACTCTTATTCTTCTTTTAGTTGTGAAGGTTCTGGGTTTCTAACCATCAAGCAAGGCAACCGTACACATAATGCAGTATGTGGTTTCCCTGCTAAAGATTTGGAGCAAGGTACCTTCTCATAATGCTTTGTTTCTTTAAGCCTGTAGCTTTTCTCTGCACTTCTTCAGGTGGTGACTTGTCGCGTAGTTGCCACCCAGAGTTTGCTATCATGAAAATATGCTTTGAAAACTACTGTTTTGTTTCTTGCACTGTTAATACTGGTAGAATTGTTGACCTGGACAAAGATTCCCCCATTAAAGCACTGTCAGTAATGAAGGTAGAGAAAAGTCTAATGATTGTCCTTTAATAGAGCATAATTATTTTGCAGATGATCAGTTTCCCATTGAGCTGCACTTGCTGTTTTGCCAGATTTTGTTAGGAAGATGATAACTTAGTCATCCAATTCCTTTACAAGTATTGGTTGAGTCCATAACACCCAGAATTGAAATCTCACATCTTGGCATGGATTAAATTAAAGAGGAATAAGTGGGCACAGGCTTTGCAGGTACTGAGTATCCTGAAGACACCAAACTGCACCGCTCCTGCCTTTCCCCTGCCATGACCTTGGTACCTTTCAGGTCTGGGCCGTTCAGTCAGAGAAATTGTTAGTTCTTAGCTACTTTTAACTTCTGCCAGGCTGAAGCAAGTGTGAAAATTTGGCTTGCTGTAGTGCTACTCAAGGAAACGTTGCAGCCAAATCCCTCCCAAAAAGAGCAAAAACCAAAACAGAGGAAAAAGAACAAGTGACAGCTGCAGGAGAGACACTGAACAGTGAAGAGATGAGGCGTGTGGGGTTTTTCATGCGGATGCTTCTTGCCACAGACAGTGATCTATTGCACTCTTGACTTGGAGCATCTCAGGTTTATTCTTAATACCTGCGCTGTATTTATTTTCCTTTCCACAGAAAAAGCAAAATACTCTCTCAATTTCCTTGGAAGAACTTCCTTTCCTCTTTCAATTCTGTGGGCGCATGATTTCTAACTCCTTATTAAATGAATCTAATTGCAGTTCCAATTACAAATGACTCTGTGTATACCACCATCCTGGCCATCCTCACCGCAGTGGCTGTGTTTGTCCTCATCTTGCTGACCTTCTTCTTGCATTTCTGCATATGGTCACTGAAGAGAGAAAAATACCACATGGCAGACAGTAAGTGCACCTTGGTGTAGCTTTTCAGTGGAGAGCAGCGTGTCCGTTGACCCAGAATCAGAATATAATGAATGAAGTTGAATAAATAGAGTAAACACACATTGACTCCGTGATTTTGGACGGGTTACTTAGTTTCAGGAAGATGCAGTGCATCACCTGCATCTTTGTCCTTTGCTTAGAGAGAGGCTGTATTAGTAATGGGCGCTTAATGGATACGTATGAAGACCTCTTGTATGTGCAGTGCTTCTGCTTATTCTCACTGCAGATCTGGAACATAACTTCCCTAGGCTGCCGGTTGCTCCACAACTGCCCCACCACCGAGAAGAGACCGACAGCTGCCAGTTTCCAGAAGAAGAACACGGGGACAAAACAGCAGAGGAAAAGCCTTGCTATTTCCACCCTCCCAGTCTGCATTGAAAGCAGATAAACTGCAGTGTGCTGTGAGAACGGGGAGCTCAGCTTTTCAAAACAGAAAAGAAGGGGCTGGGTGCGTAAAGCACCATCATATACATAGCAGTAAGGAATAGGTTTGAAGGGAGTTTTGCTTGCTTTCTTCTCAAGTCACTTGGCATTTACAGATGGAAAAACTGCAAGGTCAGGCTGACATTCAGTTCAGCTGCGCTGCCTGATGGTGTTTTATGGGTTGTTGGGCTGTTTGTTTTCATTGATGCTCTTTTCAACTTTCTTTGGGACCAGAGACGCTTCTTGTCGCTATTCCCTTTTGCATCTTCCACACATGTCTGTGTGGTGCTCCCACAGATGGATGCACACATAGAAGGCTGTGTCCTGCCATAAATCCCTTCAATGCTCCAGGAAATACAGTAGTACCTCTAGGACACAGCTTTCATAGACTATCCATATGTCCAGGATGTGTCTTGATGCTCCTCTTAAGGAAATAAGGCGTCTTGCCTAGCTACCATATCTACTACTCTTCTCTAAGCAGACAGTGCTTTTCAGTCAAGTTGCCCTCTTGGTTACACAGCAAAGGACCATTAAATACTCTTCTCACCTGGTTTATAGAGATGGTGGAAAACAGAGACAAGCCCAACATTTGTTCCTGATGCTTTTTTTCCCCCCACCCCAGAATAAAAAGAACCAGGGTGTCCGCTGGTGTGTACCAGCACAGCTGCAAGTTTTTGATCATCAGCTGAGGGATGTTCCCCTTACTGAAAAATTGTACCATGGAGGACTTTTTTTGAATGTTAAATTAATGCTCCTCCGGTTTCATAAAGCTCGAACATGCCTGAAGTTCAAGGAGCAGGGTTTCAGCTGGAGTTGGTTGCTTTCTGTGAATACGACGCTGGTTTCGAATAGGAATTTAGCCCGTGGCTTCAACTAGTTAAAACTCACAGGTCTGTTTGATGTAATTGTTTCTGTGTTATGGGACTGCAAGAAGAGATTCAAAACTCTGGATGCCTTCTGGTTTGGCCTTCTGGTGAAAGCTGCTTGGAGTCGACTCTTTAAATGTACACAGAAGTCTAAACACTGGCTCGTAAAGACACTTCTTCCTGCTCCTCCTGTGTTGGCCATGTTTATCCTTGGCTCTGCATTGACCTTTCTTGGGGTTTTTTTTAATGTTTTCAGCAAGATTTCTGATCGTGACCTTTTGTAAAGGTAAAATAAACTTGAAAATGGAATCAAGTGCCTATGTGATAGAATTAAGCAAACTGGGAAAGGAAGTGTTTTATTCTTTAGGTTGTCCCGGTGCTCTCGAGCACGCTTGGTTTTACATTCCTGATCCGCTTCCCAGAACTCTGGCTATTTCAGTGATGTATCCCCAGTCAAATTATTCAGATTTTTACATTGGCGCGCTGCATTTTTTTTCTCTCTATTTAAACAAGTGGCTTAGCATTTCCTGGCTGCTGTTTGCACCAGCTTTTTTGGCTACCCGCTACCAAAATAGCAGGAAGCTGTGGTTGACAGTTTTTTCCATTCCTGTCAATGGCAGAGAAGCAGCAAAATAAACCAAAATATGTATTTAATGGGACTTTCTCTTTGAGGAATGAGAGATTTGGGTGTCTGGTGGAAGCCTGTGCCTCTGGCCACGTGCGGCAGAGCTTGGTGAGGTGCACACGACTTGCTGGGCTGTGGGTGTCGAGCGGCCGCCGCCGCTGCCGGTTCATAGTGAAACGCGGTGAGCTGAGCCGTATTATTCACTGGAAATTCTCGCAGCGGCCTTTGGGGTTTCTGCGTGCGTCTACCTTGAAGAACGGCTCCACTTCCTGCTGGCTTCATCACCTGACCCCACGGCTGCTTCTTGATGGGAAAAGCAACCAATTTCCTGGCTTCTCAAAGCTCCAGTTCAGAGGGAAAAACCCCAGCGTGTGAATCATGTCAGCCCTGGAGGATTTCAGTGAAAGAGCTGTTCTTTGTAGCAAAGGAAATGAAAGCTGGTGAGCTTGTACCAATACACTGTATGTATTTAAATTTCCATTCAGAGGAACGATAGCGTTGTGTTATCAGTGTGAAATTACTGCGATGTTTGAATCAGACCAGGGCTGAATTTTCAGCTCGAATCCCAGGGTTTGTGGGGTTTTTCAGGTTGTGATTTGAACTTCGGGTTGGTCTCTGTATGTGGACTGCAGGCTTCTCCATCAAATAACTTGCATCCAATGAGATGTCTGTAACAATGTAGGGTGGGTTTTTCTTTTTGCTTTAATCTCTTTTCAAAATGAGAAAATAAAATATCCCTGAAAAATATCCCAACGTTTCTACAGGCTAAGTGATCAAATGTAGAAATACAATGTTTTATCAATGTTATTGTCGTGAGTAAGTAGTTAAAATAGAATATATGGTAATGGCTGCAAGAAAAAAGCCACGAAAGATTCCTTGTCAGTGCTAACAGAAAAGCAAATATGCAGGCTTTAAAAATGCCATCAAATTGTGACTTAAATGGGGTCATAGTAAGTTTTACACTGTGTGTAGGTGAAGCTAAAAAGCATATTTCATGTTTCTGTCCACAGCCACAGACCGAGTCCCACAACTTCCTTTTAGGGCTGAGAAGTTTCAACAGGTATCAGTTCTGGGCTCTTCCGCTGACCCAGCTCTGAAGCCAGACCCAAATTTAACAGCTTTTCTCTGAGCAACACGTATTATTTCCCTGATACCAGATCCAGTGTTACCATTTAGTGTGTTGTGCTTCTAATCTGGATCTGTATTCCTAAATTTTGACTTTGGCCACGTGTGATGGCCAAATTTCAGGGCAGGGATATGGCACCTAGCAGAGGAGAGGAATTATCTCTCTACCTACCTACCTGCCTACCTATTTATCTACCTACCTATTTATCTACCTACCTATCTGGCTACCTACCTATTTATCTACCTATTTGTCTACCTACCTACCTACCTGGCTGGCTACCTACCTACCTACCTATCTGGCTACCTACCTACCTGTCTACCTATCTGTCTGTCTGTCTGTCTGTCTATCTATCTATCTATCTACCTGTCTACCCACCTATCTATCTACCTGTCTACCTACTTATCTATCTATCAATCATCTATCTGTCTATCTATCTATCTATCATCTATCTGCCTACCTACCTATTTATCTATCTACCTATCTGGCTACCTACCTATTTATCTGTCTGCCTATCTGGCTACCTACCTACCTACCTACCTGGCTGGCTATCTGGCTACCTACCTATCTGGCTACCTACCTACCTGTCTACCCACCTATCTATCTACCTGTCTACCTACCTGTCTACCTACTTATCTATCTACTTATCTATCTATCTATCTATCTATCAATCATCTATCTGCCTACCTCCCTACCTACCTACCTATCTGTCTACCTATTTATCTGTCTACCTATCTGGCTACCTACCTACCTACCTACCTGGCTACCTACCTACCTATCTGGCTACCTACCTATCTGTCTATCTGTCTACCTACTTATCTGTCTACCTACTTATCTGTCTACCATCTATCTGTCTATCTATCATCTGTCTATCTATCTACCTACCTATCTGTCTATCTATCTACCTACCTATCTGTCTACCTACTTATCTACCTATTTATCTATCTACCTACCTACCTACCTATCTCTGTTTTCATGCACCTTCTCTAAAAGTTTAATAAAAAAAAACCTCTTCTGGATCTACAATTCTTCAGGATATTCTCCATAACTGTTTAAGAAACTTCACAGTGTTACAGCAAAGTGTTAGACTTAGTTTAAAGCAAAGTTTGATAGTCAGCAGTGGCTCGCTGTTTATAATCAGATAAAGCCCTTCCCACACGGTTTAGGAAACGCAGGGTGGCAGTTAGGAGAAGAAGCCGGTGCCCGTTTCTGTAGTCACACACTCACTCACATACATAAATAATCATCACGGGGGGTTGGGGCCCTTGGGGATTTCTTCTCTTCTGGCTGAAACAAAAGAGTGAAAGAGTAACAGAAAAGTGCCTGAGGTATCGAAACAGCCTCTCTTGTACTGGCAGCTTTGCGCCAACAGAAGGCAACCCAGAATATGCACAGGCAGTGGTTTTTTTATGCTACCATGTCTGCTCGTGTTTCCTGCAAATTATTAGTGTTCTGAAACTGCAGAAGGACTGCCTGTCCTCAGTTTTTGGGTGCCCTATCCCAATGAAAGGGAAATCAAGCAGTTGTGTGATTACGCATCTGTTTTTCCAAATAACTTTTCAATTTATTGCCTGGTTTCAGCCCAACCTGGCAGAGGCGTTCAGTTCTTAAAAGCATCGGGAAAAGAGGCGCATAATTTGTGGTGCTCATGGGCATACCTTTGTGGGATTGGTTTCTTCTTCTAAAATTGTTGAAATATATATGTTCATATGTATATTTATGCAAATGGCATCCTGGGGTGTATCAGGAGGGGGGTGGTTGTAGGGCAGAGAGGTTCTCCTTCCCCTCTACTCTGCCCTGGTGAGACCGCATCTGGAATATTGCGTCCAGTTCTGGGCCCCTCAGTTCAAGAAGGACAGGAACTGCTGGAGAGAGTCCAGCGTAGGGCTACAAAGATGATGGAGGGAGTGGAGCATCTCCCTTCTGAGGAGCGGCTGAGGGAGCTGGGGCTCTTTAGTTTGCAGAAGAGGAGACTGAGGGGAGACCTCATTCATGGTTATCAATATTTAAAGGGTGAGTGTCACGAGGATGGAGCCAGGCTCTTCTCGGTGACAAACAATGATAGGACAAGGGGTAACGGACACAAACTGGAACACAGGAGGTTCCACTTCAATTGGAGAAGAAACTTCTTCTCAGTGAGGGTGACAGAGCCCTGGCCCAGGCTGCCCAGAGAGGTTGTGGAGTCTCCTTCTCTGGAGACATTCAAAACCCGCCTGGACGCCTCACGTTTTTTTAATTCCTCTGTGATTCTGTGATTTATATGTGTATATATATTTATATGTATTTATATATTTTTTTTCAATGTATGCAGCTCTCTGTTTTTCATTTTGATTTGCACATG